TGGCCATTTTGAATCGAATCGCTAAACCACTGCATGTGCATATGTCCCACATAAAGTACTAGGCACATGCAAAGAATGAACGGAATCGGTCCAAGGGATTCTGAGATATGACTCCGGACGGACACACGGACGGACACACGGACGGAGACAGAATTATAAGTCCTCGTTTTCGGACTTTGTTCAAACGGGGACTAATAACTATGAAGAAATTTAAAGACTTTTCAAAGATGTTTTTATTTTTCCTGTAATTTAAAGACAACTCAAAGACTTTCCAGACCTCAAAAAATCCAGACTTTCAAAAATTTTTCCCAAATACAAGAAATGCAAGAATTTTTATTTTAATTATACATGTCATGTAATACCATAAAATGAGATGAAAATAAGAGGAATTGTGATATGATCAGAAATTTAAATAGCAAGAGAAAACCTACATTTCTGACAATTGTAGATCAGTGACTGTGTTTTTCCCAGACTTGTTTAGGTCATGTCCTGGCATATTCAAAAACTGTGTAATACATGACTTATGTGCTTTATGAAAAAATTATATATTTTATAATAACAAAATGCTGAGTCAAAATACTAAAACTTTGAATCGTACTTCATTATATATTAATACATGAACTAGATTTTGCAAGATTGTACTGTCCATTATTGCATGATAACAGGGCTCGGACAAAGATGCTGGTAATGCATGCAAACACAAACAAAATTATGAATCAGCAATATTCAAACCAGTACTATTAAATAACATCATAAAACCTAAACGTGTTTTCGCATGCTCTCGTTAATCACAGTCAAATACGCCTATAATCTTCATCGTATATCACACCCTTACTTACTCTAGCTTTATAAATCCTTGATAACATTTTATATGATTACATAACATATACTGTAAAGGGGTTAATTATTCATTGGGTTTTAATTTTCAAATTGCTTATTTCGCTGCCTGGAAAATGCGCTAAATTAAAACCCAGTGAATAAGTAAAATAGAGCATTGAACACATTATCTAAATGATAAAACTGTGAATTTAAAACACACTGAATATCCCTGAAATGCTAAATCAGCAAAATTTAAACCCAGTGAAAATTAATCATTTTACAGTACAATTCCAATACTGTAACATACAATCATTTTTCATAGAACATAAATATACCAATTTCTTTTGACCAATGCCTACCTTTATTTTAGCTGGTTCCTTTGCAAACTGTGTTGAGGCATATCCTGTAGCAGCAAGTTCTTCAAGTAATTTGAATTGCTTTGTTTCTCTTAAAGTCTCACACAGTCTATAATAAAGAGACCACCATTCTTCTTTGGTCACACTACTCATGCTGCCACTTAACACAACTATTCAACAAAAAAATAATCGTAAATTCATGCTTTCATAAAATCTATTTAGTGCAGTGAAATTTTGTGCAAATGTACACAATCATAAGACCCTCGAAATGTGTCAGTGTTAGCATGTGAAATAGGTATGGCAGAATATGCCTTAATGTGCTTACTTTTTCTGTGAAGCCTTGGCGATTTCTGTAAATAGTACCTTCTTTTCTTGTGGCTGATTTTCCCAAAAATCTCCCCTATAATAAAAGAGACCTGACAATTATGAAGTTTATGATGTCACACAAGAATTAATCATGTCAATATTTTTGTATGAGAATTAAAAATTTGTTATTTGATCAAAGGATTTGAGGCTGTCCTGCTACTTTATGTATGAAAGCATGAAAGCAAACAATTATTTTGTAGAGATCCTAAGTCAAAATGTAGTCCCCCAAAATCAAGTTCAGTCAGCTTGTTGATCGCTTGAGAGGTTGATCATCAAGAAAAAATATATTTATAAGCAACTGTAAAGACCTGAGCCATAAACAGAATAATTGCCACTCATGATTTCCTTTGGTTCCGTTCAGTTTATTGACTGTGAATTTCATTTTATCAAATTACAAATTTCATAACTATAGTAGGATATTATTCAAGATGATGCACCAGTAAATTAGCTCACAACTTTTTAGCCTACTCTAGTACTTGTATGTGAATGTCAAATAATTGATGGTTAAATTAAAAATACATTAAATTGGTGATTGTCCATCTTTTTTCCGATTTAGCACATAACCAGGTTCTACTAACTTTTATTAAAAATGGCCGACATCAGCTTTCGGCACCTTTCACAAAATAAAGATTTTCACCAAAATTTAATTCAGACAGGTTATATCCATTTGGCTTAGATTCATAAAGTATTCACACAACAATAAATAAAACTGGAAAAAATATGGTATTCAATTTTGATGAAATAAACTTCAGTGAACATATTCTTGCTTTGCCCATTCTGTACCTGACTTGATACAAGGAATAGGATTAGTCATGATATTTTAGTTCATGGCTTTATAAAATGACAGAATGTCATCTTTCCGTGCACCAAATTAATGTCACAAAATGTTTAATATTTAAATGCCAATATAATTAGCATAATAGAAGTGACTTACGTAAACTTTCCTCAGGTTTGACATCTTTGAAGTAGTATGCCATTAATAGAAGTGCATTTTCTATAAACTCCTCTGTTCTTGATTGTGACTGTAGGATCCGACACTTGTGATGTAGTAACTGGATATCTTGTCCTAGAACAACCTCCTCCTCTTCACCTTCTGTTTCCATGGTTTCACTGATATCTGAAATAACACCAAATGATGAATGTTTTACCACTGAAATTACATTACATGGTATTTTCTACATTTTGTACAGAACCACTGACTCCAGCATGACAGTTATACCATTGCTGTGCATCATAAATTGAACATTGCTATTAATAAAGTTGTTGTCAAACAATATTATGAGAGACAGTACTTTAAATTTAAATAGTGAACTGCAGATGATTTTATTGTTACAGTAATGTACCTCAAATTCATTTTTGCATTAAACGATTTGCAGCAGAAAATGTTGATGATTTACTTCAATAGATACATGTATATGATAATTATGAAAGTTTGAAAGTTAAAAGTAAAAAAGTTAATTTATTTCTAAAATATTGTACCAAATGAAAATAGCATCCCATTTTTGGAAAAAATGATGCAGACATATGTTTTAAAATGTGACGAAAGCTGACTTTAATTGGTGTACCAAATTACATCAAGATTTAGACAATATTTGAGTGTTTATTTGCACCCATCTTTCTGAAAAGTTAACCAGTGATTTTTTCTTACCTATAATATATAAAGTTGATTGCCAAGATCACTCAAATCATTGCTTGTGTACTTACCCTGTGAAAGTACTTGCAATGCTTGGTCTGTATGTCCAAGCTGCTGCTCAATGGCTGACAAAGCCAGGCGAGCTTCTAAATGCGATGGTGCTAACTTTATTACTTTATGATAGCACACTGATGCCAACTGAAGTTCTCCAAGACAATTTACACATTCTGCATACCGCAACCAAACAGCTGCCTGGATGAAAAGAACAAATAATTGATTTTCACTTCACCGCGAGATGAAGGAATGGGACATATTGAACGTCTCTGGTAAAAAAATTGTTTAAAATACATGTACATGCAATTACAGTTATCAAATAAAACATACAATATCAAATTAAACACTGAATAATTTATTGCCACTTTAATGCTATCAAAAACTGACAAACCTACTAATGATCAATTCCATGTTAAAGCATATGGTATCACATGCTATCATCACAGTTACAGTTGTATATCCACTTTGCATGAACTGCAGACAACTTCTCACGGATTCAAGTATATCATGATGGCTTTGGCTGTACAGTTTTTATCAAACAGAATCCTGAACTCAAATTTAAAAGTCCCCCAAAAGTAAGTAAATGTATATGCAAATGGTCTTGATTAATAGTTTCTGATTTCAGACTTCATCCAAAATAATGACTATTATCAAAGAAAGCTTAGAAAGAACTCAAGCAGCTTGACGTATTGCAATGAACAGAAATTGTTTAATTACTTTGCGAATCATATAACTAATATACAGAGAATTGATTGCTAAAATCATGGATTTGTTGATTATGCCTGTGCAACTAGTATATGCACCAAATTTCATCAAAATACAATGAGTGGTTTCTGAGATATCTGAATTATGCAAATAAGGTAATTAATATTCACAGATTTCAACCCAAAGCTAATCAACTCTACATATCATCCCATAGTAAGAAATGTCATCAAAATCATTATATCATTAGAACAGCTTAAAATGCTAATTATGCAAATTAGGTAATTAATATGCACAAGTTTCAACGCAAGCCTCATCAACATTATTTATACACATTATTTTATAATAGCATTCACGAAACAACTTTCAGCAAAATCCAATGTAGTTTCTGCGAAATAATAGAAACTTGATAATTATGCAAACTAGGCAAATTATATGCACAGATCAGATCAAAACATGACCAAGTCTATGCATTCACTCCAGAGCATCTAAGTATAATGTTTCAATAAAATCCAACTAGAAGATATCAGCAAAACAGTCCCGAAACAGCTGAAAATTGGCTATTATGCAAATTAAGTAATTATTAAGCATGGATTTGAACCAAAACCTCAATCATATCTGCACATTACCCCAGAGAATATATCTACCAGGGTTTAATCGAAATGCAATGCGTAGTTTTTTGAGATATGAGTAAAACAGATTATTATGCAAATTAAGCAATTAATAAATACAAATTTGAACCAAAACCTAATTAAATCTGGGCAATCCATTAGAGCATCTATGTACCAAGTTTCATTGAAATGCAATGAGTAGTTCTTGACAGACAGACACACACACACACACACACACACACACACATACACGTCTTACTGTCATTGTGATGACACACATTGGATTAACTTTTAATATAGTTGAATTAACTTTTAATATAGTTGCGATATGAACTTGATTAAAATGCACTCCTATATAGGGTTACATATTAATTGGAGTTTAATTAAATAAAAGTTGAATATCCCATGACTGAACATAGAAATGTTTGTGATGCTTGGGTTTAGCAAAGGGGAAGGTATGGTACAATTATATTAATATTAATATTAATATTAAAATTCACATTAAGCATTTATATATTATATTTATAAATTATGAAAATAGTGAGGGTCATCACAATGTAGGTCCTGTCGTCACAAGTGGAAGTAAAGTTAAATTGAATTTGTCACAACATTGTTACTACACACGCACATAGACACACTAACTGCAATAACTCTCATTGTGTTCTTCGCACACAGAAGTCAAAAATGCGTGTCCTTAGAAAAACAAATTGACCAAAACCATGTTTTTTCGTTTATTTCTGGGCCTTATTACAGAAAAGGTGCATAAATAAGAGATTGTGTTGGTTTGCTTTCTCTAAGAGTGAAAATATAGCAATATTATAATACTGCCCTCTTGAGGCCAACAGCAATTTTAACACATTGACATGGAAAAAGCGCCCCCTTGAGGTCAACTAACAACTTACCAGATTGTACTTCTCAGAGTTCACTAGCAATGCAAGAATTGGTTTGGCTTCTTTGTACATACCTAGTGGATGGAAATAAAGGTTACCTAAATGTTCTACCCAAAATGTTGTACCCAAGTTTGTACCTAAATACTGTACCCAAAATGATGTACCCAAATGTTCTCCCCAAAATGCTGCACCCAAATGTAGTACCCAAAATCCTGTACCCAAATGCAGTACCCAAAATGCTGTACCCAAATGTAGTACCCAAAATGCTGTACCCAAATGTAGTACCCAAAATGCTGTGCCCAAATGTAGTACCCAAAATGCTGCACCCAAATGTAGTACCCAAAATGCTGTACCCAAATGTAGTACCCAAAATGCTGTATCCAAATGTAGTACCCAAAATGCTGTACCCAAATGTAGTACTCAAAATGCTGTACCCAAATGTATTACCGCAAATGCTGTACCCAAAATTCTGTACCCAAATGTAGTATCCAAAATGCTATACCAAAATGTAGTACCCAAAATGCTGTACCCAAAATGTATTACCCAAAATGCTGTATCCAAATGTAGTACCCAAAATGCTGTACCCAAATGTAGTACTCAAAATGCTGTACCCAAATGTATTACCGCAAATGCTGTACCCAAAATTCTGTACCCAAATGTAGTATCCAAAATGCTATACCAAAATGTAGTACCCAAAATGCTGTACCCAAAATGTATTACCCAAAATGATGCACCCAAATGTAGTATCCAAAATGCTGTACCCAAATATAGTATCCAAAATGCTGTACCAAAATGTAGTACCCAAAATGCTGTACCCAAATGTAGTACCCAAAATGCTGTACCCAAATGTAGTACTCAAAATGCTGTACCCAAATGTATTACCGCAAATGCTGTACCGCAAATGCTGTACCCAAAATTCTGTACCCAAATGTAGTATCCAAAATGCTATACCAAAATGTAGTACCCAAAATGCTGTACCCAAATGTATTACCCAAAATGATGCACCCAAATGTAGTATCCAAAATGCTGTACCCAAATATAGTATCCAAAATGCTGTACCAAAATGTAGTACCCAAAATGCTGTACCCAAATGTAGTACCCAAAATGCTGTACCCAAATGTAGTACCCAAAATGCTGTACCCAAATGTAGTACCCAAAATGTAGTACCCAAAATGCTGTACCCAAATGTAGTACCCAAAATGCTGTACCCAAATGTTGTACCAAACTGTTTGTTTGGTGTTTAAAAGAGACAAATATTAACCACATGCTTTAATGCCTTAGTGAAATAAACATTACTTAGTTGATTTTTCGGACTATCACTTGAATAACACAAGATTTGAATAAAAAAAACACTGATGCTTTGGTTGATTATAGAACTGAGATATATTTGTAAGTGCTAAATGTAAGGAAAATTAGATACCAGATTACAAAGCATCTGCAAAAAAAGATTGACAAATTAAAAATAAGTTTTTTAATTTTTAATGATAGTTAACACAGAAAATATAACTAAAGTTTCCATCTGTTCAAATATTTTTGAGAAATTGATAAAAAAAAAATTTCACTTTCAATGTTTTTAAATAGTGTAAAATGAACTCTACTACTTTAAAAAAAATATTTCTTTGCTTTTGATATAAATTAGTATTTAAACAACACACTTTTTGTCCTATGTCATTTTTAATTAGGGTATTAGAGACTACAAACTGCCTAAATATGCGGATGTGTACAATAATGGGTAGTCAAGACTATATTTTAAGCAAACATCCTCACTCTGTTCTGTTATTAGGCAATAATGGGAAGTTATTTTAATTATAATACCATGAACTGTTGAAAAATTTAATATAGCGGTAGTGGAAATTAAAAATAAAATAAAATGTTGTTAGCATGTCATGGATGCTTGTAAACAACATACAAATATACGCACATAGGTAAATTTCCAGATGAAAATGCGCAGGATTTCCCAACCTCAACATATACATGTAATAATGGGTTTGTTTTTTAAACTTTCCAATGTGGAGAAACATTATGAGATGCACACACACAATCTTCTTGTATGCTCAAGCAATAACCTCAAGCACTGCACTGCCCTGTTATCTGATAACAGAGCTGCATGTGGTACTGAACGACCAATGAGACTGCAGCATTTTAGTAACGGGCAGCGATCAGTAATAAAATGTGATGTACACACGTAAAATACATTGTTATAAAGTTTGAGTGTGTAATGCACTATGACAATTTGGCTGCTTATCCAGACGCCCCAAATTTGGAAGATTTTAGCATGGATGAATTATTTTCTATTATTGTTTCAAGTAATGATTTTTTTCATTCTTAGCATTTTTGCAAAATTTATTTTCTATATTCTTGATATGTTTTAGTACTGTAAGTTTTTGTTGTCCTGAATGTTTTGTTCTGTTATTTTTGGACTTTACTCAAGATTTCATTGGTACGTTCCAAATAAAAAATTCTATCTATCTGAGTTAATTACACATCAAACACAACCAATCAGTGAGGATCTCAATAAGATGCTTTCCAATAACAGCTAAGCAATCATAAAAAACGATGTATTTACCGACATCTATATAGGCTTCAGCTATGTCTAAATACAGATCACCCATTTCATCCGGACTCTCTTCAAATAATGGTGCCAAGATAGTCTATAGATGAGAAAATATGTACAGTAAGTTGAAAGAGTCAAACAATATCAAACTCTTACCATGTCCATCAAAGCATTTGTCTGTAAAAGCTGATAAAACTGGTACCATTTCTTTGATATTTTCACTACTTATTACAATTACGTTAATTAGCACTGATTGCATGATTATCACCAGAACATATTATTCATGATTGTAGTTTAGTACTGACCTGTATAGGCTTAGTGTGTTTTGTATGCAGCAAACATATAGCTAGTTTAATTCTTAGGTCAATGGGTATCTCTGCTGGTACGATTACATCATGAATGTCGATTTGATCTAAAGATTCCAGCTGATCCACCGTTCTTTGCTGAATAACTACCCCACAGTGTCTGCAAAGGATCTGCAAAGCTGTGTCATACTGTTTCATTGACATACACAGCTCACTGGATATATTCACGTCTGAGATAAAATATATATAAATATGTAAATTCATATTATATTACAGTTGTAGCAGTATGTTGTGTTTGGGTCCCAAGTTTCGGTATCAGTGTAAGTTTTGATAACAAATAGTTTGAAACAGATAAGTTTATTGAATAAGATCTCTAATTCATCACCATGTAATATCAGATTCATTTTCTTCTTTTTTCTGCAATTTATTTGAAATATTTATAAATTATTATTTTTTCATATAAAGTTAAATGTATGTTAGTGACCACCCTTATGTAAAGACCACCTGCCTATATAAAAATCCCAATGCAATTTATGTGTAAGAAGACCGATATAAGAATCACCTGATACACGACCATCTTTGGACCATCAATGCATTTTATAAAAGTGACTTGTATATAGAGAAAATGTCTAATGGGTTCAGTGATCACCCTTTTGACACAAGGTTGGTAAAATGAACATATGTGTAAAAGCCAAAATGATGGAAGTTGGTTACATGTTTAGTATTTACACTGTTCTATATAAACTGACATATTCAATTCAATTCAATCAGGGAAACAAGAATATTTAATATTCTCTTTTGCTGACAAATTGAACTTTAAACTAAGAAATTATTGACATAAATTTATTAATGAAATAATTGATCATGAATTGTAAAATATACCTTGGGTGGTTGCTTAATAAAGGTTTGATTATATTTTATTTTATCTCACTTAATTTAATATTTATTTGCCAGTTATGAATTTTTTCAAAGTTTTGGATATAGGTTTCATTCAAGGAAACACATTGGGACATGCTCTGAAAATTACTTACAATAATTTGCTTGGTGTTTTTTAAATGTGCATGATATGATAACCCATTTTTTATACCACTTAAATTAGGAAAGACACCCAACATCATAAAACTGGTACACATCTTGCCGGGATGAGGAATATGAGTAACATACCTTCAGAACTGATAAGATCTGGGTGATTCTCCACAGCTTTCTGCATTGCATCGATTGCTTGCTGCGTATCACCCATCCTGTGGTAAGTCTGTAAAACATAGTTCAAAGCAATTATTGATCTATATTTCCCCAGAATTAAAATATGAAAATACAAAATAAAATACATTCTAAGTCAAGGTCATAAACAGACTACTCATCATTGACTCGCTGTTACAGTGCCATCCACAGGCCAAAATTATTTTTTTTTTACATTTTTACATCTTTGTAATATCTACCTTTATTACACATCGTCACTGAAAGGCTGTAAGTTACAACGTGTCGTAATTTTTGTGGTATTTTACGGGGTATTTTCATCCTACCATATTAGGAAATGTGAATTCCAAATATGGAATGATTACACGCATAACCATCCTCTAATAACAAAAACAAACATGGCTGCCACCAGAGTTTTACTGGATTCAACAAAAACATTTTGGATTTCGGCATTCCCATGTATCATTGGAAGGAAAAGATGTATAATAATAAGGTTATTATGAGAATCCCTCAAAGTATGCACTCAGACTGTACGCCGCGCATTGACGGTCGATACTCCAGCTGTACTGTTATCATGCATACTTTGCGGTATCCTTTATGGTGTTTTTGAACGCAAGTTAAGCTAGATCTAGGGAATCTGAAAGCCAGTTAAATGTTACATTGTGCTTGGATTGTACTGCATCACAAGAAATAAATCGAGGTATGAATTTCACAAAAATTGATTCAAATATACTTCCAGTACTACACCATTCTACAATAATCTTCAATAATCAAAGAAAGAAAGAACTCCCATGTGCTGAGAGTATTGGAGACACATTAAATATAATTTGAAATTACTTAGCTGAAAACTAATTATGCAAATCAGAAAATTAACATGAACAGAT